AGGCCACCTCTACAAGAAACACTTAAGAAAGTACTGAACACAGAAGAAAAAGAAAAAAGAACAACAGCATTCTTCACAAGAGTACAGGCAAAAGATCAAAAACACACATGAACCAACTCCAAAACCCAAAGAAAGACAACAAACAAACAGGAACAACTCTGTAAGAACCTTATGACAGGGATCAACTCTTGCATTTCAATTATTAGCCTAAATGTGAACGGACTAAATGCACTACTGAAAAGACATAGAATGGCAAAATGGATAAAATATCATCAGGCAACAATCTATTGCCTTCAAGAGACTCACCTCACTAGAAAAGACACCCACAGACTCAAAGTAAGAGGATGGGAAACAAACTTTCAGGTGAACGGAATACAAAAGAAAGGAGGAGTAGCAATCTTAATTTCAGACAAAATACCCTTCAAGCTATTAAAAATCAAAAAAGATACAGAGGCCACTACATAATGATAAAAGGTTCAATCCATCAACAAGAAATATCTATCCTAAACATATATGCACCCAACATCGGTGCGCCAATTTTCATAAAGAAACTTCTTAGAAAACCAAAGAAAGATATTGACTATAACACCATCATAACTGGGGACTTTAATACCCCACTCACAACCCTAGACAGATCATCAGGACAAAAAATCAGCAAGGAGATCCGGAACCTAAATGTGACTTTGGACCAAATGGACTTAATTGAGACCTACAGAACACTCCATCCAAAGACCACAGAATACACATTCTACTCATCACCACATGGAACATATTCTAAGATCAACCACATAGTTGGCCATAAATCAAGCATAAGCAAATTTAAAAGGACCAAAATTCAACCAAGCACCTTCTCGGACCACAGTGGAATAAAAATAAACATTGACACCAGCAAAGTCCCCCCAAAACCCACAAAGACATGGACACTAAACAGCATGATGCTAAACAACTCCTGGGTCAATGACAAATCAAACAGGAATCAAAAGATACCTGGAAACAAATGAAAATGAAGAAACATCTTACCAAATCTCTGGGATGCCATGAAAGCTGGA